AGTGGAGAAATAGCCCCAGAAAGAAATGAAGAGGCTGAGCCAAAGCAGAAATGACACCGAGCTGTGGATGTGTCCACTGGTGAAAGTAAAGTCTGAGGCTGTAAAGAACAATATTGCCTAGGAACCTGGAATGTTAGGTCCATGAATCAAAGTAAATTGGAAGTGGTCACACGGGAGATGGCAAGAGTAAACATTGACATTTTAGGAATCAGTGAACTAAAATGGACCAGAATGGGTGAATTTAATTCAGATGACCATTATATCTACTACCGTGGGCAAGAATCTCTTAGAAGAAATGGAGTAGCCCTCATAGTCAACACAAGAGTCCGAAATGCAGTACTTGGGTGCAATCTAAAAAATGACAGAATGATCTCTGTTCATTTCCCAGGCAAACCATTCAATGTCACAGTAATTCAAGTCTATCCCCCCAACCACTAATGCCAAAGAAGCTGAAGTTGACTGGTTCTGTGAAGACCTACAAGACCTTCTAGAATTAACACCCAAAAAAGATGTACTTTTTATCATAGGCGACTGGAATGCAAAAGCAGGAAGTCAAGAGATACCTGAAGTAACAGGCAAGTTTGGCATTGGAGTACAAAATGAAGCAGGGGAAAGGCTAACAGAGTTTTGCCAAGAGAATGAACTGGTCATAGCAAATACACTTTTCCAACAACCCAAGAGATGACTCAACACATGGAAATCACCAGATGGTCAATACTGAAATCATGTTGATTATATTCTTTGTAGCAGAAGATGGAGAAGCTCTATACAGTCAGCAAAAACAAGACCAGGAGCTGACTATGGCTCAGATCATGATGAACTTCTTATTGCAAAATTCAGACTTAAAATGAAGAAAGTAGGGAAAACCACTAGTCCATTCAGGTATGACCTAAATCAAATCCCTTATGATTACATAGTGGAAGTAACAAATAAAGTGAAGGGATTAGATCTGATAGAGTGCCTGAAGAACTATGGACAGAGGTTCATGACATTGTACAGGAGGTGGTCATCAAAACCATCCCCAAGAAAAAGAAATGCAAAAAGGCAAAATGGCTGTCTGAGGAGGCCTTACAAATAGCTGACAAAAGAGAAGCCAGAGGCGAGGGAGAAAAGGAAAGATACACCCATCTGAATGCAGAGTTCCAAAGAATAGGAGAGTTAAGAAAGGCTTCCTAAGTAAACAATGCAAAAAAATAGAGGAAAACAATAGAATTGGAAAGACTCTTCAAGTCTTTAAAGTCTCTTCAAGAATATTAGATACCAAGGGAACATTTCATGCAAAGATGGGAACAATAAAGGACAGAAATCGTATGGACCTAACAGAAGCAGAAGATAGTAAGAAGAGGTGGCAAAAATACACAGAAGAACTATACAAAAAAGATCCTCATGACCCAGATAGCCACAATGGTGTGATCACTCACCTAGAGCCAGACATCTTGGAGTGGGAAGTCAAGTGGGCCTTAGAAAGCATCACTACAAACAAAGCTAGTGGAACTGATGGAATTCCGGCTGAGTATCCTAAAAGATGATACTGTTAAAGTGCTGCACTCAATATGTTAACAAATATGGAAAATTCAGCAGTGGCCACAGGACTGGAAAAGGTCAGTTTTGATTCCAATCCCAAAGAAGGGCAATGCCAAAGAATGTTCAAACTACTGCACAATTGCACTCATTTCACACGCTAGTAAAGTAATGCTCAAAATTCTCGATGCCAGGCTTTAACAGTATGTGAACTGAGAACTTGCAGATGTACAAGCTGGATTTAGAAAAGGCAGAAGAATCAGAGTTCAAATTGCCAACATCAATTGGGTCATAGAAAAAGCAAGGGAATTCCAGAAAAACTTCTACTTCTGCTTCATTGACTATACTAAAGCCTTTGACTGTGTGGATCACAACAAACTGTGGAAAATTCTTAAAGAGTTTGGAATAACAGACCACCTTACCTGCCTCCTGCGAAATCTGTATGCAGGTCAAGAAGCAACAGTTAGAACTGGACATGGAACAACGGACTGGTTCCAAATTGGGAAAGGAGTATGTCAAGGCTGTCTATGTCATCCTGCTTACTTAACTTCTATGCAGAGTACATCACGTGAAGTGTCGGGCTCGATGAAGTACAAGCTGGAATTAAGATTTCCAGGAGAAATATTAATAATCTCAGATATGCAGATGATAACACCCTTATGGCAGAAAATGAAGAGGAACTGAAGAGCCTCTTGATGAAAGTTAAAGAGGAGAGTAAAAAAGCTGGCTTAAAATTCAACATTCAGAAAACTAAGGTCATAGCATCTGGTCCTATCACTTCATGGCAAATAGATGGGGGAAAAATGGAAGCAGTGAGAGACTTTATTTTCTTAGGCTCCAAAATCACTGCAGATGGTGACTGCAGCCATGAAATTAAAAGACGCTTGCTCCTTGGAAGAAAAGCTATGACAAACCTAGACAGTGTATTAAAAAGCAGAGACATCACTTTGCCAACAAAAGTCCATCTAGTCAAAACTATGGTTTTTCCAGTAGTTGTATGGATGTGAGAGTTGGACCATAAAGAAAGCTGAGCATCGAAGGATTGATGCTTTTGAACTGTGGTGGTGGAGAAGACTCTTGAGAGTCCCTTGGACTGCAAGGAGATCAAACCAGTCAATTCTAAAGGAAATCAATCCTGAATATTCATTGGAAAGACTGATGCTGAAGCTGAAACTCCAATACTTTGGCCACCTGATGTGAAGAGCTGAATCATTAGAAAAGATTCTGATGCTGGGAAAGACTGAAGGCAGGAGGAGAAGGGGATGACAGGATGACATGGTGGATGGCGTCAGTGACTCAATGAACATGAGTTTGAGCAAGCTTCGGGAGATGGTGAAGGACAGAGAAGCCTGGTGTGCTGTAGTCTGTGGGATCACAAAGAGTCAGACATGACTGAGCAACTGAATAACAACAATAATCAGAGAATGCTGGCATTCAGATAGAATGATGTATTAGAGGGGGAGATATCTGTGCCCAAGGTGAGGTTGCGGGTATCTTGGAATGCAGATTTAGCAAATGGTAGAAAGGATTCTGTGCTTGGAAGTGGGGTCATGTAGAATGTTCCTGTGCTCAGATATGAGAATCAGGGGATTGAACTACAAATCAGCACAAGCTTAGAGAAGAGAGTTTGCACATGCTGTGAATTCATACACATGAATTGGCAAAGATTTCTTGGTGCCTGTCCTTTGCTATGAGGCTTAGAGGAATAAAAATCATACCCTTTTCTCAGGTAGGAAGGATGCGAGAAGAAGAGGTCAGAACAGAGCATAAATGGGACTGGAAGTAAGGTAAAGATTGATGGGATTTCAGAGTTCTGTTTTGGCCTAAGATATAGGAAGCTAGAAACACTTAAAATAGCACCAAAATCATGGGCCAGAGAGAAATTTAACAAAATATGTGAAAGATTTGTATGCTGAAAACCATAAAACATTGGTGACAGAAGCCATAGAAGAAGTAAATAAATGATGAGCTAAAGTGTGTTCATGGATTGAAAGACTCAGTAGTGTTAAGATATCTGTTGTTTAGTCGCTAAGTCATGTCTGACTCTTTTGCAACCCCATGCATTGTAGCTTGTCAGGCTCCTCTGTCCATGTGATTTTGGGGGCAATAATACTGGAGTGGGTAGCCATTTCCTTCTCCAGGGTATCTTCCCGACCCAGGGATTGAACCTGCATCTCCTGTATCACGGTTGGATGGATTCTTTACCACTGAGCCACCAGGGAAGTCCATTAAGATGTCTAGTTCCCCCCAAATTAAGCTATAGAGTCAATGAAATCCCATCAAAAGCCTGATAGGCTTTGGGGAGAGTGTAGGGTGTAGAAATTGACAGGCAGATTCTAAAATATACATTCCAAAGCAAAGTTACTAAAGCAGCTAAAACCATTTTGAGAAGCAACAGTGCAGTCGGATTACATCACCTGAATTTAAGACTTGTTATAAAGTTAACAATGAATATGATCCAACAATCCCACTAGGGCATATACCCTGAGAGAATCATAATTCAGGACACATAATTTAAAAAGCACCCCAGTGTTCACAGCAGCACTCCTTACAGTAGCCAGGACATGGAAGCAACCTGAATGTGCATTGACAGATGAATGGATAAAGAAGATGTGGCATATATACATAATGGAATATTACTCAGCCATAAAAAGGAATGAAATTGAGTCATTTGTAGTGATGTGGATGGACCTAGAATCTGTCATACGGAGTGAAGTGTCAGAAAGAGAGAAACAAATATTGCATATTAACGCATATGTATGGAATCTAGAAAAATGGTACTGATGAAGCTATTTGCAGGGCAGGGATAGAGACAAATGTAGAGAACAGACATGTGGACTACGAGAGAGGAGAGGGCGGAACGAATGGGGAAAGTAGCACTGACATACGTACACTGCCCTGTGTAAAACAGACCGCCAGTGGGAAGCTGTGTGTAGCACGGGGCGCTCAGCTCAGTGCTCTGTGATGACCTAGAGGGTGGGATTGGGGGAGGGTGGGAGGGCGGGGATGTATGTATACATACAGATGATTCTCTTTGTTAGTACAGCAGAAACACAACCTTGTAAAGCAATTGTACTTCAATAAAAAAAGCAAAGCCCCAGTGAGTAGTCAAGATGGGGTGTAACTGGTGAAAGGATCAACACATAGATCAATGGAACAGAATGGACAGTCAAGAAGTAGACCTACATGTCAAGTGACTTTCCAGAAAGATACTAAGGCAACTGAGTGGAGAAAGGATAATCTTCTCAGCCAATGAGAAGGCGGGTCTGGGCTGGACAGTGGGCTGCCCTCTCGGGGGTCTGGGATCCACAGCACCCCACTGCTGGGCTGCAGCCGTGTCTCCTCCTCTCCTGTCTTCACCTCCCCCGCCCTGCTCCCCCTCCCTGAGTCATGAAGCCAGATCCCAGTCCCGACGATTGCTCAACCTCCAGGAGCCAGTTCCTGTAGGCAGTGTCTGGGGAGCCTGACCCTCTCGAAAGGACGAGATCTTGCACAAGGCACCCTGCGTCTGTTCTCCACAAGGGAAGGGTGACATGGAGCCTGTCGGGCTGCTCATCCTGCTCGCTGTCACAGGTAGGAGTCCCTCCTTCGCTGCCGACTCTCCCTCCCCTTCCTTGAGTATGTGGCAAGTGGGTGGGTGGGGAGCACTGAGCCACACTCTGAAGAAGGCTGAAATCTTCCGCATGTCCTGCACCCCCGCTTCCCACTGTGTCCTGTATTCTCCATGCTTTCCCTCCCTTCCCCAGTATCAGCTTTTCATGCAGGTGGAGGCATCAGAGGCTGGTGGATTCAGACACCTAGAAAGGGAAGGAGTTCTGATGGCATCTCAGGCACTAGCTAGTAGTTGGGGGAAGTTTGGGGAACATTGGTAAGAGCCTCTAAAATTTTGACCCACTTAAGCATAAATCTAGCCCCAGAGGAGCGGCAGGGTGGGAGGGAGAAAAGAACCCAGCACTGGGAATCTGCATCTTTGGGGTGCCCCTCCTGGGCTCTGAAGGTCCTCCTGTCCTTAGCCCTGGGGCTGAAGATTCTGTGATTGAGCTGCAGGGATGAGCACCCCAGAATTTTGCACATGAAAGCCTTTTCTTATTGGGGGATGCCTCTTGCTCCACGCAGAGGAAAAGTCACACGTGGGTGAGAGGAGACAATGTTCCAGTGAAACTGGAGTTTCTTAGCTGGAGGTGGAGCAGGGAAAGTGGGGGGTATGTTGGTCTGTCTGGAGGCAGATGGATGGGGTCGTATGGGGGGTATTGCTTATCAGGACTCTCTGGTTCCAAAAGAGAGGCCACCAGCTCCCTAATCTTATTGGCAAGTTTCTGTCACCATGTGGCTGAGGCAGAGGGTGCTAGGTGATTCCTTTTCAGCCCCTGCCCTGGCACCAGACTGGTGCTCCCCCACCCCAAGGAGGGCCCCTAAAATAGCAGCCTCATGTCTCCCCCAAAATAGCTTTGAGATGTATCCCTCCTGAAAGGGGAACAAAGCCACAGAAATAGGGAAGCTGGAAGCTAAAGGTCACGAAGAGAAGAATGTGGGACTGGTACTGGCGTGGGCAGCTGCAGAGTTAGCAAGCATGGCGGGCATGGGCAGGGAATGTTCAGCCTACTGTGGGACCAGCCCCAGGCCTGAGAGGCCACTGGCCTTGCTCTCTTGAGATGGAGGAGGAGAGACGAGGGCAAGATTCCATGTAACAGGAAGAACACGTGTGGACTAGGACCGGCAGGAACTTCAAGACCAAATGTCTCTGGAAATAGGCTCAGAGAGGGTCAATTACTTCTCTAAGAGGTCCAACAAGTCCAGTGGTGATAAAGCCAGACCCAGGACCCAGGTTTCCTGGTTTCCTCATTTCCTACAGACACATACTTGGGCTGTGCCACCTTCTCCCAACTTGTGTAAAGACCTGAGTTCCTTAAGGGCATGATTTCTGTCTCTTCTGTTCAGTGAACATAGTAGGTGTTCAATAAACACTTGGTACAGTGAATGAACGTCTTGTCCCCAGAGCTGTCCGGAGCGCACAACACCACGGTGTTCCAGGGCACGATGGGCCGGTCCCTGCAGGTCTCCTGCCCCTACAACTCCTTGAAGCACTGGGGGAGACGCAAAGCCTGGTGCCGCCAACTGGGTGAAGAAGGCCTGTGCCAGCACGTGGTCAGCACCCACCCCTCGTGGCTGCTGTCCTTCCTGAAGAGGCGCAACGGGAGCACTGCCATCATGGATGACGCCCTGGGGGGCACACTCACCATCACACTGCGGAATCTTCAAGCCCACGACGCTGGCCTCTACCGGTGCCAGAGCCTCCATGGCAGTGAGGCTGACACCCTCAGGAAGGTCCTGGTGGAGGTGCTGGCTGGTGAGTGGGTGGCTGGCTGCACCCCGCCCTGATGTTGGGGCTCTGAGCACAGGACCGACCACCTTTGGGGCTTTTGGGGGCCCTGGAGATCCCACAGTGTGGATTTTGTCCCCCTGCCCAACTGAGGGCCACTGTGGCTGGCTGTGTAGATCGCTGACTGCAGAGGGGGTCACCACCCAGCTCTGCGCCCTGCTCCAGGCTGCCCCCCCGGTGGAGGACTGCATCACTTGCGGGAAGGGTACAGTCCTCTAATTTACACAGACACTTAGGAGCTAGCTGTGGTCCTGCTCCCCCCACCCCGCAAATGGCTTTATCCATCTGGCATCCTGTGGGATGTGAGCACTGAGGCGGTCCTTGAGGAGTAGGAGGACATTCACTCATTCCCTCGCCCAGCCACACAATGCACCTACTGATGTGGATTAAGCACCAACTTGGTACGGAAAAACAGCCCCAGAAAGGAACATGGCTGTGGCCCCGGGCAACTGCTTCTCCTCTCTGGGGCTCCACTTCCCCATCTTTAAATGGTGGTGATGGAGTCTGTGCCACTGACCCCGTATGGCTCCCATGAGAAACAAATGACAGTTTTACAGTGCTTGGGTCAGTGATAGCCCTCGCCCCAGTCTCCTGCCGCTAACTGCTTGGGATCGTCATTCCCGGTTTAAGTAGGTGAGACAAGCTCACCCCTGAGCTTGCACAGGTGGTGCCCGCCAGGAAAGCCTTCTGTGTCTCCTGTGTCCCAAAGGAGAACAAATCTGAGGTTACAGATCCCTTTTCTGACACTCTTTTTGTCCAACTCCTCCCCCTAACATGGCCCCTTATCATGGAAATGAAGGTCGAAAATTTGTCTAAGATGGGGAGGGTAGGTGAGACCATCTGCCTTAGACCCCAAACCGCACCTCCATGGGAGTAGATGGCAAGGAAACACTGCAATCCTATCAGAGTCTAAGGCTCAGCTGACTCCCACAGATATAGCAGGAAAAGAATAACAACAACAACAATAATCTGTAGCTGGTACAGCCAGCTTGACAGTCCACACCAGACCTTCAGAAACACCCATCATCTCATTTGCTCCTCCCAAAGACCCTGTATGATGGGAGTGTGGGGGCTGCAGTCACTGAGCTCCTATGAGGTGATGGGCATGACACAGGATGTTCTCGCTGATTCCTGCAACACTATTATTAAGAAGGGGTTCCTAATTGCTCCATTCTACAGGTGAGGAAACTGAGGCTCAGAGACGTTAACAACTTCATCCACACAGGGTGAGGTCCCAGAGGGCTTCACCCCACCCAGAGGGGTTCTCTCCACTGTGGCTTCAAGAAGGGGACTAGCAGCTCACAGGCTCTGTCTCCCACAGACCCCCGTGATTACCAGGACCCTGGAGATCTCTGGATCCCTGAGGGGTCTGAGAGCTTCGAGAATGCCCAGGTGGAGCACAGCATCTCCAGGTATGGTGACAAGTCTTTGCTAAGATCCCCGGGTAGACCTCCACCCTCAGAGCCCAGGCATGGGGTGGCAGCTGGGGGGCAGCGGGTGCCAGAAGTACAGATTCCAAGGCAACTGGAACAGGAAGGGATCTGTATATGATCTTGTCTAAACACCCCTCCAACCAGCCAGTGTGTGTTGGTGTGACTGTACCAGTTGTTAAAATATTGCAAAACTTCCCTGACAGTTTATAAATAGCTGCTGCTCCAAGACTCTTGAATGACTGGCCTCCCCCCTCTTCCCCTGGCAGCCCTCAGACAGAATCCCCACAGTTCAGCAACAATGAACATTTTACGATTAATATTTTAGCACAAAACTGGTACCCCCAGATCCCTGCTTCCCTGATGGGACCAGAATCAGTTCTGACTGGTTCTTGACTATGTACTGGTGTTTAAACACTGTTTGTATAACCATGAAGTGCACATGTGTGCACGCACGCACACACACACAGACACACCACAACACATCACACTATCATGTAGGCAGAAAACCGCTCAATGAGGAGGTGGTTGTTTAAAAACACTCAGCAGGCATATCTGTGCCTGGAACTCAGGTCTCCTGACTACATAAACCCTAAACCCATAAAGCCTCATCCAGGGATGGTGGTGGGTGGGGGTGTCCCCAGCCCCCCGAGCTCTTGGGGTCTCCCCCTTCCTTCTCTGAGGACAGAGCCCAGCGTGTGTGTCCTCTCATGGCCTCCCACATGCCCTCTTTGTTTCTCCAAGGAGCCTTTCGGAAGAGGAGAGCCCCTTCCCACCCACTTCCGTCCTCTTCCTTCTGGCCTGCATCTTTCTCAGCAAGCTTCTAGCCGCCACTGCCCTCTGGGCTGCAGCCTGGCATGGGCAGAAAAAACAGCCACCCCAGACCAGTGGATCGGACTGTGGCCACAACCCAGGTCACCAGCTCCAGACTGTGACAGGTGAGCTTGGAGAGCACAGTGGGGGCCGGAGGCTGGGGGCCGGAGAGGTGGGGCAGAGAGCTGCTGAGTGAGAACCCTGTCTGTTGCAGAGCTGAGAGACGTATGAGAGAGAAGGACCCTCAGTGGAGAGTTTCAGGAGAGGTCTGCATGGATTACCCCAGCTTGCTGCACACTCTCCCGTTGGCCACCAAGTCTCCTGGCTCTGCTTTGGCAAAAGGCCACTCTGCCTCTACCCTTCTTCCTCTGGCCCGTGGAAGCGCGCACGTGCATGTGTGTGTGTGTGTGTGTGTGTGTGTGTGTGTGTGCACGCATGCACGCATGGGAGGTGGGAAGGATACTTCCAACTTCTGGACATTGGTCATTAAACACTCTCACAAGTAAACCCAAGACTTCATGTTTATCTGATGGTTTAGAGTGTCATGAAGGTCTTCTTTTTTGCTACAAGGCTAGTAGAGTGAATACCAATGAGGAGAAGACAGAAGGTCTGGCTCCTTAGGGTCCAGGGTCTTAGAATACCACGTTCCTCCATTTCCACAGGCTCCAAACTGGCCAGACTTTTTAAGTCTTCTCCCTCCCTCCCAGAGATCTGATTACCAAGCCCTGAAGATTTCTCTAGCATCTTCTCTCATCCTCCTGCCTCCTGTCCACCGGTTCCCTATGATTATTGCTGGGCCCCCACCCTAGGCCCCTTCCTTCCTCTGCCTGTCTCAAGCCCCCCACATCCATCCAGTTCCCAGCTGACTCATCCATTTATCTCCCTAGAGGTTTGTTTTTATCATGTTATGCTCCCTCCAGAGAAATGGCAAGGGCTTGGGTTGTTGGCGCAGTGTACCAGATCTGGGGACTACTGCTCCAAGCCTCAAGCCTCTCATTGTACAGAAGGGAAACAGAGGCTCACAAGGGAAAAGATTTACCCAGAGTCCCCTGTGCACCCTGGAAATCCTACTTTCACTTGACATTCAAGGTGCCCTTCCATCTAGCTCAACCCTACTTATTTATTAAAAATAATTCCCCCCTCTTTTTTTTTAAGCTATGCTGCATAGCTTGCAGCATCTTAGTTCCCTGACCAGGGATCAAATCTGGGCCCCAGCAGTAGAAGTGTGGAGTCCTAACCACAGGACTACCAGGGAAGTCCCAATCCTACTTATTTATTCATGTACTTATTCAATAAAAACTGATATTTTCTGTGCCAGGTACCAGTCTAGGCATTGGAGACATACCAGTGAACAAGACAAGCCAAGATTTCTGCCCACACAGAGCCTTGTTCTCATGGGAAGAAAGCAGACAGACAAATACAATGTTGGTCAGTCAGCTGGTTGGGAGTATGGGAGGGCAGAAGGCCCGGGGAATGATGCAATTCTAAAGGGTAGTCAGGAGGCACCACTTGAGAAACACCTCAAGGAAGCAAGGCAGGAAGAATATTCGAGACACAGGGGACAACCAAGGCAGCTCAGGGAACCGCATCTCTCTCTTCGGTACATACACACGCCTCCTGGACCAAGAATGAGGCGGAAACTAGATGGAAGCTACCCTGAAGGCAGGCTGTTCTCAAGAGGAGGAAGTGAGTTGGCCATATCCGCAGGCTCTCTGCCCTGGCCTCAGAGAGGTGGCAGTCCAGGGGGCCCTGTCCACGGCCACGTGTGGCTGTATTGCTCCCTGACCTGGGTGTGGGGCCCTGGGGTTTTGAATCCCTGGGAAAGAGCCCCCGGTGCAGCCCTGCGTTTCAGCCTCGTGTTGACAGGTCACTCCCCTCGTCACAGCCCTGCCCCACCCACTCCCCCGGAGGCTGCTCCGCGGGCCTCTGCCCCCAGCTCCAGGACCCTGGTCCAGTCTGTTGTTTCCCTGGCCTCCCTGACTCAGCTGCACTTCAGTGAAACTTCCCCATCGGGTCCTGGGGCAGTCGTCTCCTTCCTGCAGACACAGGCACGGTCTAGGAGCCGAGACCGAACAGAGTCCAAACTGAGCCCACGCCAGCACCCTCCCTCCCACCCCGCCTGGGCACCGGGGGTGACGGGATGGAAGGGGAGGCTCCGGGGGTGTGCCTGCTGGTGGAGTGCTGCTGGAACGTTCCTCCTCTTGGGAGCTCAGGCTTTGCTCCTTCCTGCTCGGCCATGTCAGAGACATCCACCCTGGGATCCCCCGCCTTTCACTCTGCAGTGCACACTGATCTGAAAGCGTTTTCCAATTTCAAGTTTGCCTCCTCAAGAAACCTTAAGCAAGTTCCTTAACTGCTCTGAGCCTCAGGCTCCTTGTACATAAAGACAAACAAAAATCCCGACACCAAACCAAACTCCAACCACCCAACTTTGGTGGGTTTTTATGAGATTGAAAGAAATAACATTAAAGTCCCTGGCCAGCTGTCTGGCACATAGTAGGTCCTGCATAAGCATTGGCTTTCTTCCTCTTCTCAAACGCCTGGTGAGAGGACACCTCTCTGGATCCTGGATCCTGGCCACTTCTGTCCCAGGGCCCCAGTGGGGGACTGTATCTGTTTTAGGCACTCAGTAAATATTGAAGACAGGTCTCCTCCTCACACAAATCTCCCAGGTTGGCTTGTTAGAGCAAAAATAATTTTCTGGTAAGAAAATCAAAGAAAGCCTGATATGCCTTGGCAGGACAGACATACATACTTCCATATCACTCACGGGGGAGACCCAGCCATCCCGTCAGCTGGAGACTCTGCCAGTGTTAGCACCAAGAGTCCTGTGTCCCCAGAAAACCCTCATGCCAGGTGAGCAGGGACAGCTGGTCTCCCTATTGCCGTGTCCACGAGACTCGGCTAAACACGGCTTCCTCAGGCTCCTGCTCCCAGCTTCCCATCCTCAGCTCCCTTGCTCCTGGAGGGAGGAGGAGGCAGGGAGAGGGGAGGAGGAGGCCAGGGAGGACAGAAGAAGGGGGGGTGGTTCTTCAGGCCCCTTTCCAGGCGTGACCATCTAGGTCAGAGCGGTGTGTCCTCCTGGTCGTTCCCACCTGGCCTGCTCTGGTCTGAGCACTGGTGCGTCCCTGGTGTCAGCAGGTTTACCCTCCACATTCTGTGCAGGATCCCCAACTCTGGTTCTGCACAGGGTGATGCAAATCGGGACCAGATGGTCCCTGTGCAGGCAGTGGGTTTGTGTCATGGGAGAGGAACCCCAAATTATGAGACTTGGAGCTTATATAAAGCATCTGGCACATTGGCCCATCTTCCTCTCTGGCAGGAGAGAGAGAGACATCTTTACTTTGGAATAGAAACTGATCATTTCCAGGGAGGATGGGGAAGGATGGAAGCAAATCTCTCTGGAGCTGACACACAGTCTCTACCTCCCCGGGCATGTTTGCTCTTCAATCTCCCTGGAACAAAGCTTGGTCAGTGTCTTTTTCTGGGAGGGCCCCAAGCATGCGGAAACATGAAAATATTCACAGAGAACTGTTTTCTGACAGAGAGGACAGTGCATTCATGAAACAAAAATAATATAAAATAAATGAGAAATGCTTGGAGAATCAAAAATATTATAAATTAAAAGCACTAAGGGATAAAAGCTTGAAGGACAAGGATAGAAGGGATGAAGAAAAAAATATGAGGATATCTTCCAGGAGTCAGAACAAAATGGGCAAAAAAAAAAAAAAAGGAAAGAAACCTAGACAGAAAAGCTATGAAAATGAGATTAATACAGTAGGTTCAATATTCAATGAATTATTAAAGCAATAGTGCAGTTCCTGGAAGTGGAGAATGTGGTCCACACCGGAAGTGTCTAGGGAGCACTCAGCACAGGGAATGGAGACAGGCCAGGCCAGGGTGCAGCATCCAGGGGGGCCTTCCTGGATGATCTCCAGAGAGCTCAGGTGGAGCAGTCACACAGAATTTAAAATTAAGACAAACTCAGGCCCTGGGGAGGACATTTTACTTCCCTCCTTCACAGCTCTGCATCATCAGATTCTACATTTGGAACACCCTGAAGATCATCCTCCCCTTCTCTAATGCTCCCTCCTCCCTCGCTTCACTCCTTAGGGGCACCCAGGATCCCAGGCTTCTGTATTTCCTTGGGCCTTCTCAGTCTACCTCGCCCACTCCTATCTGGAGCACTGAGCCAACCAGAGCTTGGAACAGCTCCTTCTCCCCACCCACAGCGGGGCCCACCAGTGCCTGCTTCCCAGCCCCATGGTCACTGAGAGCCCCACGTGAGTGTCTGAGGCCAAATTTCCTGCCCCGGGGGAATGCTGTGTCAGTGCCCAGACGAGCCTCAGAGCTGACATCTCCCTGCCCAGCCATGGGCCCCAAACTGCTCCTGCTGCTGCTCCTGGGACTAGTAGGTAAGGTTCAGAAGGAGCTGCACTCTGGGCCAATGTACCCTGCTCTGTGCCCAGGGATAATTGGCATTGCCCTGGAAACTGTCCCATGTGTAGGCCCAGAAGTGGACCTCTAGACCGCTGAGCCTTGGGCAGTGAGGGAACCAGGAGGTGCCCTGCCTGACATCCCCTCAACTTTCCTTCCCTAGGCCAGGGCTCGGCCGGCAGCCTCCCGGAAATGCTGCAGGCGCCCGTGGGGAGCTCCATCCTGGTGCAGTGCCACTACCGACTCCAGGATGTCAAGGCTCGAAAGGTGTGGTGCCGGGTCCTGCCAGAGGGATGCCAGCCCTTGGTGACATCAGCTGTGAATCGCGGGGCCCCAGCTGGCAGCCGCATATTTCTCACCGACCTGGGGGGCGGCCTGCTCCAGGTGGAGATGGTTGCCCTGCAGGAAGAGGATGCTGGAGAGTATGGCTGTGTGGTGGAGGGCTTCTCGGGGCCCCAGACGGTGCACAGGGTCACTCTGGATGTGCTCCCTGCAGGTGAGTTGTCCCAGCCTGGCCAGCAGCCCTGGCCTGCCCCCTTGCCCCAAACGGCTGCTCTTGGGTCCGTGGTGGGTGGGAGCCCTTGTGGGTGAGGAATATCGGCCAAATGCCCAATATTCTTTTGACAGCTCTGCAGGGAACGGAAGCCAAACCGGGTGAGAAGTCTGAGATAAATCAGCCAAAGAGCAGTCCCCTTTCCCCTCCTATATGAGCAGGTCTCCCCACAGGAAGTCACATCCTTCTTCCCCGACTCAGGGCCTTGGCCTCCTCATCCAGCATTTTCAACATACTAGGTGCTGTTTTTTTTTTCCCTTAGAAATGTTTTAAAGTTTTGATTCAGACATATCAACCAAAATTAATTTTTTGGTATATGTTCCAGGTTTTATTCCTGTAACAAGATTAATGGCTTAAAAACCACTGTATTCCATATTTTATAAGTCTTCACTAAGCGTCTAGTATGTGTCTCATGTGACGCGCAGGGTACATTCAGTGGCTGAATTCCTTTGACTTGTTCAGTTTTAAAAACAGAAAAAGTCTCATCAATATATAGTCAATATTCTCGACGCTATTTCAGTTTAGAAAGTGCTCTTCACAGGGTTTTCACAGTCTATAACTTTCTCGTGTCTAAACATCTACTAAAAGAACACTTAAAAGTATTAAATACTCCCCAGAAAAGTACAATGCTGTAAAAATAATTGTCCTGTTGGGAGCATGGTCAGCCACCCGAGGAAGCAGACTGCTCTACCTCCCTCTTATGGGTGTTGACATCTTTTCCATTTTCAAGTATTCCTTTCTTGAGTAATTCGTGTCAAAGACCCAAAATAATGAAGTCAAGACATTCTTCCTTCTGTTTTTCTCCATCTGTTACGGGGAGGGACTAAGCTGTCATTAGAATCTCTCTTGTGTCCACAATTATTACTCATATTATAAATATACTCCTGTTAACTCTGGTTATCCTTTGTTCTCCTTGACGCTCTAAGGTCTAGTAACTCAAGGTTAGAACTTCCTAAATGGCAACTGGTCACCAGACAATGCACTGGGAAGGGATGGCAGGGAGACGGGCATCCTCAGTGGAACATCTGAGGTGTGGGGATCCCAAGAGCTGGAGAGGATGGATATTCAGGCAAATGGGTAGAGCACAGTATCCAGGGAGGATAGAGCAGTTTTAAAAACCAGATCAGGACATATGCAGCAAGACTGGGGTCATGGTGTCTCAGTTCCTGGTTTGGCATGGGGTGGGGAGTGGGAATGATGAATTGCTAGACACTCCTCTCAGAGGATCTTGGAGGACTGCCCGGGTTCCCAAGGCAGATCCTAAGGCCCACAGAAACCAACCCTGAGTCCCACAGATAGAAGCTGAGCACACAGTTGGAATGACAAAAACTTGTCACAAAACTGAGTCTCAGGGTCTAAGCCAAAGCTCTCAGCAAGTGTCAGGTGGCACTGTGTCATTTCAGGACTGACCCTAAGTTCCTCAGCTCCAGAGCTTGGGATGGGGCTCAGCCAAACTGCAGCGTTGGTCACGAGGTTGCAGGCATGCAGAGAGGTCTAGTGGGCTGGGCCAAAGCCCCTCCAGAGACCAAGTGATGAGAGCTGGGAGCAAGGTCTCCAAGGAGGTCAGAGTAGACAGAACTATTCTGGGGTGGGGTAGGGAAGTGGGCACAGATCACACAGTGGGGTTTCTGCGTAGTCTGAGCAGCCTGATTGAGACAAGGTACAGGGGGAGCAGGTGAAGAGAAGAAATGCAGAGGGGAAGGTTGACAGCGGGCTGAAGAGGGGAAGTGAGCATATTCACAGTCAGATAGAGACTGAGACAAGCCATCCCCTGACCTCCAGAATAAGAGGCCCCTTAAGGAATAGCCCAAGCACCCCTTTGTGTTTCTTATTCTGGACCTTCTCAGCTCTACTCCCCCAGTCCCTCAGATCTCAACAAGCCCTTGAACCCTTCTCGGTGGGTATGTGCTCAATAAGTACTTCCTTCTGACTCAGCTCCTGGCCTGAAAGAGGAGGAGATCCATCAGGATGGGACTCTGGGTGAGAGCTCCTCTTTGGACTCTGAAAACAGCGGCAGCCCTTTGGATCCCAGCCAGGATAAGAAGAGGTATTGACAAGAACTGTATGTGGGTGTCTGGGAAAGGGTGATGGTGAAGATACAGCTTGTTTAGAGCCCCAGACTAAATTGAAAGGGAACCTTACAGTTCTCTCCACTCCTGGGGAACTGCTCAACAGGCAGGCAGGTAGGCAGACAGACAGGCATACCTCTCCATCCCAGTTCAGCACTGAGCCCTTTATTCCAGTAGATCTCCAGTCAGGATACCCTGATAACGTGTCTCTCCTCTTCCCTGCTTGAGTCTCCCTGTTTCATTCCATTAAAAAAAAAAAAAAAGCTCTTTCTCCCGACCATGGCACACCAAGAACGGTGCCTCTGCACCACTTCTCCAGGGTTCCTGCCAAGCAGCTCCCCACCAGCTTCAGGGCTAAGCTCACTGCCTTCTTCTTGTGTCTCAGCAGACCCTGGATTTGGGGTGCTATCTTCCTGCTGGGCCTGCTGGTGATGGTGGCTGTGGTGCTGCTTGCTGTGATGGCCAAAAGGAAAGGTGGGTAGCTCTCCACCTGCGTATCCCAGCAGGGCTCTTCTGGCCCTGTTATCAGCCACTCTTGCATTTGAGGCTGGGAATCTAGGTCTGCTCCCCCTACACATGGGCTTTGGCAAGCGCCCCCAGGCCCTAAAATTCCCATGGCTGAAAGGTGGGGGAGAGCAAGGAGATTCAGCGGGAGGTGGCCTGGGGAGAGACAGGAATTGTAGAGGGTGGGACAGTGGCACTGGGCACAGGTGGCTGAGAGGTGGGGGATTTCAGGAGATGGGTTGAGTGTTGAGACAGGATAAAGGGAGCTGTGGAAGCAGTAAGTAGGGGAGTTAGGGCTGCCTGGGGGTGGGGGCTGGGGAGATGGAAGGGGAAGACTTTGCTGGTAGGAGTGGGGATGTGAGTATGGGCCAGAACAGAGGTTTCCAAGGCTTCTGAAGAGTGCGTGTGTGGGAGGCACTGAGTCAGCACAAGGAGCAGACTGTGCTTCTGTTCCACCAGGAAACAGGGTTGCTGTCGGTGGACAATTTCAGAGCAGTGAAATCTCAAACACGGTAAGAAACCTCTGCAGGCCCCCAGCCAAATTCCCTAGACCCTCCCTCTGCCATACTCACTGACAAGTCCTGGGATGATCGGGTGGAGAAAAGACTGGAACCCACATGAGGTCCAAACTCACTTCTTAAATGCTGTAAACTTGCCCACAATAGTCTCCCACCTTCCCACTTTGCATCCACCTGCCCAGATTTAGGGAGATACTTGGGGCTTGACAATTTTCACGGTGAAGCCATCTTGCTCACAGACATACTCAGGATTCCGGAGACAGATCCAGTGTGATCCTGGACTTCCCACCTCAGGGAACTGGGGTAGAGGGAGGCATTTTCTCTTTGCCTGACAGGCCTGCTTTTGTTATAGGCTCCCTCCTCAGTGGTCCACCACATCAGTGACTCTGGACTGGCTGTTGATTTGCCATCAGATATACCATATGTCAAGCTTGACTCACCACCTTCCTTTGATGATACCACTTACACCAACCTTCCTCCTGATTCCCTGTCAGGGAAACTCCTACCCCTAGACTCATCCTGTGTGCCCCCTCTGCCTCCTAAGGTTGAGATCATCTCCAAGCCTGTGACATACGCTACAGTCATCTTCCCTGGAAAGGGCAAGGGTGGAGGAGCCCCCTGCGAGCCAGCCACCTAATAGCCAGGCTCCACCCAACTAGGCTGGTCACCATCCTGTATACACCCGCAGATTATCCCCAGGGTTTTGTGTAGCCATCCATGCAACCCATGCTCTAGATCCTTAGGAAATCTGATCTTTAAGATCCAATGTCTTTACTTTTCTGACCTGGTAAGTGATACTTGGAATGACTGAGGTGTCCTGGGAAGCCAAGCCATGTCATGGGAAACTAGCCATGTTAGTTCCTCTGCCAAAGAACTAAATAAACTCTAAATGATAATATATGAGCTCCTGATGCTTGGGAGGGAATGAAAGGGCCCAGGTTTGACTGCTCGTGAACTGAAAAGACTGGTCCAGAGTTTGTGCTGTAATGCTCTCCTGCCAGCGGGGAAGTGACTTCCCTCCCTGGTCAGACTCCTGCAATGCAGTCTGACTTAAGGGGCGTGAAGGGGGATTTCTTCAAAAGCATTTCCTGCCTTGATCATGACACTTGAAAGTATAGACTTCATTTGCATGAGACAGAAATATCCCATTTTCTGCTTTATACCTTATAAACAAGTGACATCTTACGATGTGAAACATATGATGGGAGAAGGAGGATAATTCATCAGTTCAGGTGCTGCTAGTGGTAAAGAAGCCGCCCGCCAATGCAGGAGATGTAAGAGACATGGGTTCGATCCCTGGGTCAGGAAGATCCCCAGAAGTAGGAAATGGTAACCTGCTCTAGTATTCTTGCCTGGAGAATTCCACGGACAGGGGAGCCTGGTGGGGTTGCACAGAGTCGGACAGGACTGAAGCGACTTAGCACAGCACAAAGGAGGCTCAGGACAGGCAGGGAGGAGAGATGGGGTTAAAAGCAAACAGGAGTAAGGCCAGAAACTGAAATAGATACCAAGCCTATTCCTTGGTAGAACAAAGGATTTTCAAGCACCAGGAGATAAAAGATCTTCACACACATCAGTTATATCAGAGTTGGCTCTTTCTCAACTGTGTGGTCTTCTGGTAGCTCTGCTCCCTTGGCCTGAACTCTGAGCCTGGGAAGGGCCCAGTGAAGAAAAGGCATGCAGCTGGGGGAACGAGGAATAAATGGTAAATGTGTGGCCACAGTTAAGTGTAAATGAAGGCTAATCCAGGCTGGGTATAGGAAGGCCTTTAAGGTTTCTTCCATGACTTCTTAAACTGTTTGAAAATATTTGTCCATATTGAGATGAGAGACTTAGATGGCGAAGAGGAGGTGCTCAGGAATCCGGTCTTTTACAATCATGAAGAACTGGGCAAAAAGAGGTTTTTAACCATCTGGACCGTCTGGAAGGGCCCTCAGCTTAGTCTAGGTACCTGAGGAGAAGGGACAGGCAGGGGCTGTGCAAGCCTAGTAATGCTATTTTCAGGGAGCTCTGGCAGGATGTTCTGGGCTTCCTTTGATAGAGTCTCAGCCTGTGATAGAACCTAAATTTACTCTGTCCCTTGTGGAGGCAGCAGCTCCCCACCAATCAACTAAGCCCTCATTTACCCTGGCTAAGATGACTGGGGACTTTCCTGGTGGGAAGGCAAGATGGGGGAAGGGCAGAATAAAGTCTAAAAAGCACCCCTCTTGGAGAAATGACTACAATTGGTCTGAATGTAACGTTTCAGAACCTGACAGAAGTAGAAGTATATTTAACAATGCAAAGGAAAATACTAAGATAATCAGCTGACTGGTAGAGAAGACTGAAGGAGGAAAGGGAAATATATTAATTCCATCAATGCCTATGATAGAAAGTCTATGAATTATAGTCACAGAGTCACAGTTATAAAAGTAACTTCTAAAATGAAAGTACTGAAATAAATTTCATTTATTTTATAAAAACAAAGTAAATGTAAATGACATGGTGAGATGACTGCTTCACATTAGAACCTTTGGAACTCAGTTAAAGAAGCTCTCAGAGGAAAATACACACCCTTAACAAGAATTAAGCATCTTACTCAAACAGCTAGTTAATTTTAAAGGAGAAAAATGACATAACTAATACATAAATAAGTTTGTTCTTTGAAGTAAACTGAAATAAAGTGTTAGCTAACTTACTAAAGAAGATGGATGAAATAAACAACAAGGGGGAAATAGTCACAGATAAAAAGACAACAACAAAAAAATAAGAATATTTTGTGCTAATGGTGGTGGAGGAGTGGGAATGACTAAAGGGGCCTGAAAGAACTTGTGGGTGTAATTAAATGTTCTCCATTATGACTGTGGTAGTTACACAGTATATACATTTGTCAAAATCTATCCAATAGGTGTACCTTACTGCATTTAAATTATATTTTGATAAAATTTATTTTACAAAGTATATGAAGCTATTGGGGAATAGTTAAAACAATCTTAGAGAAAAAAGCTCTTTAAAGTATCATACAAAACTCAGAAGCCATAGAAGAATTCATAGTTACATTACAACTGACACATTAAGATAAATTAAGACTGATACTTTTCCCTCTATGACAAAACACTATAAATTAAAGTCAAAAGACAAAATAAGGAAAAATTTTGCAACCCATATAAAGGCAGGGGGCTCATTTCCCTAAAAAGGCAGATGGCTCATTTCCCTAACTCCTACATATCAATTAGAAAACAAATACTTAATAGAATATGGTCACAGGATATACACCTATAGCTCACACAAAAAGAAATGTAGACATAATAAAGATGTTTAACTTCATCTAAGGAAAATACAAGTTAAAAGTACATTGGGAGTAGTTTTAAAAGAAAATGGTTAAAGATCTCTGAAAATTTTCACCTTCATAAAAGAAACAAGAAAACCGGCAAAAATACAGTCAACTTTTTTGGAACTCTGGAAATTAACCAGTGGCTTGCATCAATCCAAGGAGTGTTTACTCAAGAAAAATGGCTTCCCCCACCCCTATTCAAGAGACAACTTTATAAAGCAATAATTATATACCTGTGCTGATGGGCACACCATTTATTAAGATGTAACTTTTATGACAGTAACAATATGAAGAGGGAAAAAGAAGGAATGGGGCTATATAGAATCAAAGTTTTTGTATTAATATATTATTAAAATTAAGTGATATTAATCTGAACTAGATTATTTTAAAATGCCAACTATAATATCTACAGTAAGAAAATACTGCAAAATTATACAGTAAAAGAAATGACAGGAAATTAAATTATCTAATATGACAAAAGACAATGGCAAAATAAAGGAGAAAAAAGACATAAAACTAGTAGAAAACAAATAACAAGCTGGAAGACATAAATCTTACCTTATCGGTAATTATACTGAATGTAAATAGATTAAACATCCTAATTAAAAGGTGGATATTGGCAAAATTGATTTAAAAAATATATGATTCCACTATATGCTGCTTCTAGAAGACAAACGTTAGATTGAAAAACACAAGTCTGCTGAAAGTAAAAGAATGGAAAAACATATATCATGCAAACTAGTTACAGAGCACTGGAGTAGCTATACTATCAGACAAAATAGGCTTTAGGACAAAAATTGTTACTAGTGACAAAGGACATTTTATAATGATAAAAGAATAAATCCACTAAGAAGATATAACAATTATAAATATATGTGTACCTAACAACAGAGTTTCAAAATACATGAGGCAAAAACTGACAGAACTGAAGGGATAAATAAATTGTAATGGTTGTAGACTTCAATATTCTACTTTCAAAAACAATACAGCAAGGAGGTGGAAGATCAACAACAAAACAGTAGACATGAATAACACTATAAACCAACAGACCTCTCAGATATCTACAGAACACACCATCCAACAAAGCTGAATACACATTCTTCTCAAATATACATGCAACAGTCTCTAGGATAGATCATATGCTTGACTATAATCAAGTCTAAATAAATTTAGAATGACTGAAATTATATAAAGTATTTTTTCTGACTATAACGGTATGAAACTAGACGTCAATAACAGAAGCAAAATTTGGAAAGTCACAAATATGTGGAAATCAAACAACTCACTCATAAATAACAAATAGGAAAAAGAAGAAGTCACAACAGAAGTTAGAAATGAATGAATACTTTGAAATGAATGAATATAATTATGCAACAAACCAAAAGTTAGGTGATTCAGCAGAGTCAGTGCTTAGAGAAAAATTTATAGCTATAAACACCTATGTTAGAAAAAAAAGAGAAGATTTCAAATTAATAACCTAATTTTCATCTGAAGAAACTAGAAATAAAAGAGCAAACTAAACTCAAAGCAAGCAGAAGAAAGAAAATAATAAAAATTAGAGCAGAAATAAATGAAATAGAGAACAGAAAAACAACAGAAAAAAAAAATTAACCAAACCAAGAGTTGGTTCTTTGACCAGATCACCAAAATTGACAGATATTGGCTAGACTGGACAAGAAACAAAGCGAAGATGACTCAAATTTCTAAATCAGAAATGAAAAGTGAAGGAGAACTACTTACCTTATGAAATAAAAAGCATTATAAGAAATATTATGAACAATTGCATACCTTAGATAACTTAGATGAAATGGACAAATTCCTAGAAAGACATAAACTACTGAAAATGACTTAAGGAGAAATAGAAAATCTACACCATGTAAAGAGGTTTAATTAGTAATCCAAAAACTTCCCACAAAGAGATGCTTAGGACCAGATGGCTTTTCTGGTGAGTTCAATCAAATACTGAATGAATTTTAAAACCAATCCTTCACAAACTCTTCAAAAAAAAAAAGAAGAAGAGAAAGGAATACTTACCAACTCATTTCTATGAGAGCAGTTTTACTTAGATACAAAAACCAGACAGAGGTCACAAGAAAACTATAGGCCAACATTCTTCATAAATGTAGATGCAAAAAATCTTCAGTGAAACAGTGGCAAATAGGACCTGGGAACAAATAGAAAGGATTATAGAGCATGACAAAGCAAGACTTAGTCTAGGAATGCAAGATTGGTTCTACATTTGAAAATCAGTATGATACACCATATTAATAGAAATTCCTCCCCCCCAAACCACATGATCATTTCAGTAGGTGACAGAAAGTGTT